CTGACAGGTTATATAGGGCATGCCATGGTATATCCCCGCTGTTGGCTTGGGAATCTTTGGCTTTGGAAGCACAGCCCTGGGCAATGTTTGCGTTGTATATCTCTTGGACTCGTACAGAGATGTAAGTAACAGATCTCGATCGTCATACCCTGCCGCCGGGGATAAACTAATGACCGTGCACGTCCTGTAGGTAATTGGTGATGCAAGCATCGGTGTCGTGTTTGTCCGCAACGCCTTTGGCACTCTCACTGCCATGTGTTTGAGTCCCTGGATTGAGAAGATGGGCCTGTATAACATGTGTACCCTCTCTGGCTGTCTCTGCATTGCCGTTAGCTTGCTCACGGTGCCGATGATGATCTGGGGCCGACGATGCAGAGAGTGGACTGCGGCACGATACCTTGCCATGGCATAAAAGCAGTTTGATTCACGGGAGCCAATAGAGGCGCGAACGTCCGCGCCTGTTGTGTCAGCCTGGCCGGCCACTCGCCTGCCTAAACAAGCAAAATCTTTCATATGTGTATGTAACGGTCATAACTCACGAGTAGTCCTTTATAGCAACTATCACGATCATGCCCGACATCTTGCGAAGGATGCTTTTGATGACTTATTATTTCTTTTTAAGAGACTAGGAATTGTTCGCGTTTCTGAGCATCGCTTGTGCTGGTGCACGGACCGGCCCTATAGCAGCTGCGAATAGGCGTTAACTCTTAGATTTATATTCTTAAGGAGGAAGACTGGTATCTAACCCTTTTAAGCTCTCTCAAGCTTCAAGCATGGAATATGAGGCAGTGTATCACATCAAGTGGCCAAAGTAGCTCTCTCTGATATCATTATCCCGGTCTCTCGGTGAGCTGAGCTTGCCTGCCCTCACCAGCTATGGCAATGCCACCCAAAATCATGTCCTTTGGTAACGTTTCTCCAAGGCAAACCTAAGAACGTGCCAAGCCTTCCAGCCCTCCTTTCCTTCTATCTACTGAATTCGCTAGTCGACTTTATGTGTCGATAGACTGTTCCAGACCAAGTATAATAATACGCCATGACGTCAGACTTTGATCTCGTGAGCAATCAATTCAACAAATGGGCGACCATGTGAAGAGATCAGGTCAGCGAAGTGTCACACTTCTATCAAATCCAGCAGATTCAGGTCAGAACTAGGATCTTTTGATGGTACCAAGAAACCTCTTCCCAAATCACGGTTTCCCATTCAGGATGATTCGAAAGCTAAGGGGTAGGAGAGGATCTTCACTTATTTTGCAATGACATCGCATTCCCAGTCTCCCGCTTCATCATCGCTGCTTCTCTCATTAGGAACAATCTCGAACTACGACCGATTATTAGTACACAGAGCCGTGCGCCGATGAGACAGCGGATTTTAATCAGGGCGCTTAATGAGTCCACAGAAGGCAAGATTCTTCTCCATTCGTCAGTCAAATATTTCTCACCCACAGTTCATAACCCACGTGCTCTTTTAATGTCCCATCCAATAATAGGAGTATAATTATTTGCCCGTAAAGATAACCCTGATTATGGGAGGCATAAACATGATAGCCTCTCCAAGCAAAGGCCGGAAGGGGCCACTGGAAACCCGATGCTAGGTCTGGTCTTTTCTCCTCAAATGATCCACCTCTCACTTGGTGAGTAAAACAGACTAGCTCACCATGCTCTAAATCAAGCGTTTTGCCATCTAGTCCTTATTATAGTACATGTTCGCTTCGCGAACATCCTCAAAGCTAGCAAGCTTTGCTTCACCAGGCATAGGGACCGGATAGGTGCAAGGTCCGAAGTCATGTATTGCTCCATTTTCTATCGGTAGGTCCTGTTCAGCCCATAGCCTGAAATTATTGAGGATGTGCACCTTTGGGTGGCCGAAAGCTTTTAACATCCAACCCACCCTTAGTGCCGAAAAAATACTAAGCTTCTCAGCATCATATACTACCAGGGTATCCTCCTTACGAATGCCCAGCTCGCTCATTGAGGCAGCGAAATCCACAGCCCCAGGTAATATATGGGGATAGGGTGAATGCGCATTAATAACCCTATTGAGGTCGAAAAAGCGAGCTCCTGGGATTCGTTTCTCGCGGAAGGCCTGGATACCTGTGCGACCCTCGGAGTCATCATCTGGGAACCAAGTGGCGCATAGGGGGATTATTCGAGGTTTTCGAGGTTCTTGGGAGATGCTGGATGGGCTTATCCTAAGAGCTTTATGCAGGTCCCTCGGGCTCACTAGGAAGGTGGAGAACGAGCGATGATTTGATGGTAAGGTGAACCAGCCATGATGATTGATTGAAGGCGAAGATGTACGATAGGTGCATCTTGGTAAGTACCCCTTTAAACAGAGATAAGCGCCAGCCATGATGAACACAATTTCACGTGTCTTATTAGCCTTTGGCCTCGCGAAAATTCACGATCTTTTCCAAACTGGCCAGCTGGTCTCTTGTCGGCCGTGATAGCTTTGCTTTGCGGGAAAGATGATTTGGGGGGGTCCCTGGGCCATCAACAAAGAAATTGCTGTAGGATAAGTCTTTATAGGGTCACCATTGGCTCCATGACGTCAGGGTCGATGTAGTTTATCACTAATGTTTGACTTCCCACGAAGGTTGTTGCTCCAGAGGGAGGATCCTTGCCTCCCGGGAAGGCTCTATTATCTGGAGCGGGGCTGGGGCCAGTAAAGAGTTGAACTCAATACGATTGGGCTTGCGTTTGTGACCCATGGGAAATGACACATTATCAGACAGCCTTAGCTTGATCGGCATTTGGCTGCTGATCGATGAAAGTGGATGTGTGGCTGTCCAATGGAAGGAGACTTTGTATCTCTGCCTCATGTCTTACCCTTGTACATAAGCACTAGCTAAGATCCATACCTAGGTATATCGCCACTGCGGGGCCGGAAATGCAATTGCAAGTGCCAATACCCGGCCTGCCTTGACTGACTCTTGAAACCAATCAAGACGTCAGGACGACAGGCTCCCTTGCTCGCCCGCTGTCGAGTTACACCACAACCTCGAATCTAGTCCTAGTGTCCCCGAGCTGCATCACCATGGATCCACGACAGGATACTCCATTCCGCTCGGTGGACATGAGCATGGTGCAGCTGTACGTCTCCAAGGACATCGATCGGGAGGTCGTCACTGCTCTTGGCGAGCTTGGGCTGTGCCAGTTCTGCGACGTAAGCCTCCATGCCCAAGATATCTCCTCTATTTAGACTACTCATATATCATTTCATCCAGCTTAATAAAGATGTCAGTGCATTTCAGCGTACTTTCACCCAGGAGATCCGACGCCTTCATGATGTCGAACGACGGCTGCGTACGTCACTACAACGCCTCAGAATGCACCCAACCTAACGGGACACAGGATACTTCTATATGCAGATAGAAAAGGCGGGAATCACACTTCGAAGGCTTGATCTTGATGCTGAGAGGCTCGCGTCGCCCTCTACCTCGGAAATTGATGAACTCGCCGAGCGAAGCCAGAAGCTTGAGAAGCACGTCTCCGCACTGAACGACAGCTACGAGGCCCTCAAGAAACGTGAGGGTGACCTCATTCAATGGCACTGGGTGCTGAGAGAGGCTGGCGGCTTCTTTGATCGCGCTCCCGGAAACGTGGAGAGTCGAATCTCTACACAAAACGATAACGCGCCGTTACTCTCCGACGTTGAGCAGCACAACGCTCCACCTGACATCGAGAGATCATTTTCCGGCATGAAAATTGACTTCATCTCTGGCGTTATCTCCAGGGACCGTGTTGCCACCTTTGAGCGTATCCTCTGGCGAACTCTTCGTGGTAACCTGTACATGAAGTTGTCGGAGATTCTAGAGCCGTTGATCGACCCCATGAACAACGAGGCTGTTAGGAAGAATGTCTTTCTCATCATCGCTCATGGCAAAGAGATTATCGCCAAGATCCGGAAGATAGCTGAATCCATGGGAGCTGAGGTGTATAATGTCGATGAGAACAGTGATATCCGATGTGACCAGATTCACGGGGTGAACAGTCGTCTCGAGGACGTACAGAGCGTCCTTCGCAACACTCAAACTACTCTTGAGGCAGAGCTCAACCAAATTTCGCAGTCTCTTTCTGTCTGGATGGTGCTCATTGCAAAAGAGAAGGCTGTATACAACACCCTTAACCTGTTCTCTTATGATCCTGCCCACCAGATCCTCATCGCTGAGGCTTGGTGCCCCACTAATGATTTGCCTCTTGTCAGCACTACTCTCCAGGACGTCACTAATCGAGCTGGCATCTCCGTTCCGTCTATTATTAATGAGGTTCAAACTAATAAGAAGCCACCCACTTATATGAAGACTAATATGTTTACCGAAGGCTTCCAGACCATTGTCAACGCGTATGGTACAGCCACCTATCAAGAGGTTAACCCGGTCATACCTGTCATTATTACCTTTCCTTTCCTCTTTGCTGTGATGTTTGGCGACTTTGGACACGCTGTTATCATGCTCTCTGCTGCGTTAGCCATGATCTATTGGGAGAAGCCTCTGAAAAAGGTCACATTCGAACTGTTCGCTATGATCTTTTACGGTCGATACATAGCGCTGGTCATGGCGGTCTTCTCTTTATTCACAGGTCTTATCTACAATGACGCCTTCTCTAAGTCTATAACCCTGTTTGACAGCGCTTGGACGTTCAAGAAGCCAGATGGCTGGCAAGAAAAACAGTCCGTTTCTGCTACCTTACGCGACGAAGGCTATCGCTACCCATTCGGTCTAGATTGGGCATGGCATAGAAGTGAGAATAATCTTATCTTCAGCAATAGCTACAAGATGAAGATGAGTATCATCCTTGGTTGGGTTCACATGACCTACTCGCTTTGCTTCTCCTACATCAACGCAAGACATTTCAAGAAGCCTATTGATATCTGGGCCAATTTTCTTCCTAGAATAATATTTTTCCAGGCGATCTTCGGTTACCTCGTTCTTTGTATCATCTACAAATGGTCTGTGGACTGGTGTGATACTGGTGCGCAACCTCCTAGCCTTCTGAACATGTTGATCTACATGTTCCTGCGTCCTGGAACTCTTGACGAGCGCTTGTACGCTGGGCAAGAGTATGCTCAGGTTATTCTACTTTCGGTAGCCTTGTTCCAGGTCCCGATCTTGCTTTTCCTTAAGCCCTTCTTTCTCCGTTGGAAACATAACCGTGCCCGCGATTTGGGTTATCGCGGAATCGGTGAAACCTCCCGCTTTGGCACCCTGGACGGTGATGATGAGAATGAGCCTTTTGTTGATGGGCGCGATGACAGATTTGGCGATGATGGCGAGGGTGTTGCGATGAATACTCAAAATATTGGTGAAGACCAACCGTTCGAGTTTGGCGAGATCATGATGTACCAAGTCATCGACACTATTGGTATGCTACAACTTTGTCTGTAATCTAGGGGATATGGAATCCTAACCCGTGCTTACAGAGTTTTGCTTAAACTGCGTTTCCCACACTGCTTCGTACCTACGTCTCTGGGCCTTGTCACTAGCCCATCGGCAATTGAGTGTGGTGCTTTGGAACATGACTCTAGGCCGTGCCTTAAAGGTGGTGGGCGTTGTCGGCGTTATTATGATTGTCGTCAGCTTCTATGTGTGGTTCTTTCTCAGTACGCTCTGCTCTCAATTTCACTGCTGCAAGGTGGCCACTGACAAGTTGTATAGCGATTGCCATTTTGGTGTGCATGGAGGGTACCAGTGCTATGCTGCACTCGCTCAGATTGGCGTGGGTTGAGTCCTTCTCCAAGTTTGCAGAGTTTGCAGGCTGGCCTTTTATACCATTCTCGTTCAATACTTTGTTAGAGGAGTCAGAAGAGTTGAAAGACTACTTGGGATGATGTAGCGGATTCACAAGGGGCAATACTTCCCATCATTTTGGGTCATGGCGTGTGGCTGTTCGGATGTGGCGCAATATGGCGAAGGTGGCGTTCCAGGTGTTGCTTTCAAGGGGGCGGAAGGAAGAACCTTTCGTTCCTCAAGGCATAATGGAAGTTGTTTTGGGAAATGTCTCGCATATAAAATTAACGGGAGACCGGTCCCCGTTTAGGGACCGCCAATACCTTTTCGGAACGAGTTAAGAGCTTGGGAACAAGGTGCTTGCCCCGTGAAAGAATGAGTGATACAAGTACGTATCTTATAAAGCCCTTCCTCAGGGTATGTTCATTCCCCAAAAATATTCGCTATTTGAAAGTATCTCTGCAACGAACCATTTGATGTATTTGCAAAATGCCTGCTTTGATGGCGTCGATGACATACAGAGTCTCGCCCATGCGCTTCCCTAAGAACTCGGTTGCGGTAGAGCGGACGATGTCCTCTAATTCGGCCGTTACTATGCAACCTATCACCACGCATCGAGTTGAGCTTGACTGAAGTAATCGCACTGTGGCTTCCCTTATACCATTTTTCATATCCTCTTGAGACATGGCATTTGGATCGAGTCCATACAATTTCGCTGAGAAGACACCAGCAAATCTGTGATTACTACTATCCTTATCCTGACCCAGAAATGACTTGACTTCAACCATGAGATAGCTCTCCCAGAAGTGGCCCAGTGTGACAATTCCCCATTTGTCATCACTATTTGGGCGCAGTAGTGTTTGGGCTGTTAAAATGCTCGCTTCAAAGACCCCCATGATACATTCAGGGCCAAGGCTGGACAATTTTGAAACTAGAGATTTGGTACCAAAGCCAGCGATGAGGACGGCATCGTACTGGTCCAATGTAGGGCCATCATTTGAGATTCTCGAATAGATAGTTTCTTCGCTTCTCTTGATGTCGCTGTAACTAGTTATGCTTGACGGAGATGGCTGTGGAGTTGTATAGGCACTGAGCTCCATGGACTACAGTCGTAGTCAGCTTATCGGTCCCTTTGACATTTGGTTCCAAGCGGCTTCGTACATCACCCAATTGAATTCTGTCTATAGTAGCTACTATCGCTGCAGTTATTGCCTCTGAGGAGTTGGGGTTGATAATGAGGATACGAAAAGTCTGGCGTGGATTCATGTTGCCGAGATGGTGTCCTCTTGACTGCTTGAAAAGATATTGACAGATTTGTTGGATCGTAGTACTGTCAAGACTTATCACCTGGTCCAGTTGCCGTTGGTTTATAATTTCCTTCTCCTCACAATCTGCGTGGTTGACGTGCCGATGACGTGACACAAACGTCTTTCTTGTTTTAACTAACTAGCGCCAACTCCGCAACCTTCTAACCCCAGTAATTATACTCTAGGTTCGCTCCGTACTTTTAAATAGCTCGTCCTCTTCAATCGTTATCCACAGCCGGTTAATCCTAGCCCTGAACCTTATCTACTGCTTTTTGGACATTTTTCTTTTATGCGAGAGGCTTTACAATATCATTAAACTAGCTAGTAAGTTGACGTTAACTGTTTTCGGAAATTACTTGGTTATATGCAGACATTATTGTGCAACTCCTGAAGCTTCCTCTAATAGGAGGAAAGCAGATAATATAAAATATCCGTATCTGCAAGGCAAGGCGAAGAGCGTGAATACTAGCTGATAACTCTGCAACCTGATTTGTTACTCCGAGAACACCCTGCTATAGCTGTACTCAGAATTCTCATGTATGAATATTCCAACCGACGCGATAGCCTCGAGTGTACCATTTATCCTGCAAGCGCCATCAACAGCGATAATGATACAGTCTAGGTGTGGTATTAGACGACCGCAGCAGGTACAAGGTGGATCCGCATCGCATCTATGACTTCGGGATCGTCGGCTGACAGATCTAATATTCCTTCCGTTGCCTCCTAAACCATCAACGATAGCAATTTCTTTACAAAGAACAACCGATCGGCCGACAAAGCCTCAGAAGCATGGCTTGATCTCGGAAGGTACGCAAGGGAAGTGCTTGCTGCCCAGGACACTCGTCGCTTTGTCTTGGGCTTCACTATTTGCGGGTCTCTCATGCGGGTATGGGCGTTTGACCGGCTTGGGGGCATCGCGTCCGAACAGTTCGACATTAACGGAGATGGGCTGCGGTTTGTATTTACGATCCTCGGGTTTTTCTGGATGAATGAGGGGCAGCTTGGGTATGATCCGACAATCATGACGGCAAATGACGAGCGCTTCATTGAAATTGAGCGGGACAGTTCAACAGAGCGGGTCATTGTCGACGAGGTGATGCAGCGCGCACGTTGCATAGCTGGCCGGGCGACGACTTGCTGGAAAGCCCATCGCGAAGGGCATCCAGAGGTGCCGCTTGTTATTAAAGATTCGTGGCAGTATTCGGAACGCGATGAAGAAGGCGAACTATTACAAGAAGCGACTCGTAAAGGCGTTGTCAACGTGGCCCGGTACTATTACCACGAGACAGTCACGGTTTACGGGACAGACGACGAGATTCGGGGCAACATTCGAGGAGGACTGGACGTCACAAGAGCTGCAAACTACATGCGCGAGCGCACCAGTCCATCAAACACCAACACAGCCGGCACGTCGCGGGATGGCCGGTACAGTAGTCGAAAGCGGTCATCTAGCAAGACTGGCGCTCCTCTCCCTCCTAGCAAGCGTCCTGTTCTACGTCCCCGACCAAGGCTGTCGGCGCACTACCAAATCGGGTGCATCGGCGTGTCATTCTCCAAGACTATGGAAAACCCATATACAAGGCGACCTTTCGATCGGCCCTGCTTGCTGCCCTCGAAGGCTGTATCGAGGGACATGAGTCTCTACACAAGGCAGACTTCTTGCACAGAGACATCTCAATCAACAATCTTATGGTGAACGAGGATGATGACAACCCATCCTGGCCCTCATTTTTAATTGATCTAGACCTTGCCATCAAAGAGCAGCGAGAAGGTGTTTCAGGAGCAAAGGGAAAGACCGGTACGAGAGCATTCATGGCCATTGGTGCACTTCTAGGCGAGCAACATTCTTTTATGCAAACGATCTAGAGTCATTCTTCTGGGTAATATTCTGGATATGTATCCACTACAACGGACCGGATGAGAGCAGGGTAGTCCGTGAATTCGATAAATGTAGCTCTGTTAAAATGGGGGAGCTAGCAAATCTAAAAAAAAGGGCAAGTATCCCATGAAGGGGACTTCATCAGGACTGCGGAGGAGAATTTCACTGTGCATTACCAGCCATTAATACCTTGGCTTAATAGATTACGGAAAGCGGTGTTTCCTAATGGTGGGAGATGGGAAAGGGACGATGGAACCTTGTATCCTCGGATGAGGGAAATTCTTCGGGAATCCCAGAAGGACCCGAAGGTATTGGAGAAAAATTGATGTGGCATTCACATTACCTTCCGGAGCTTAGAGGCTGGTGATTCTAAATGAGGTCATCTCGTAAGTGTGATGCGCCAATTATCAGGGGCTGCTGAAGTCTTGTCTCTATTGAGTAATACAGAATGATTGGCTATGGCTGATTCCACTTCACGCGCTAAAACAGACGGGCTCCACTTGCGACATTGGTCATTTGCAGCCACCCACCTCGCTGCAATCCTCTCCCGCTGCAATCCCGAGAAGACATCACCAATGTATCGGCGCCTACAAGCCTAAGAACAGAGAGGTGTCCCCCCTCAATTCACACCCGAGCTTCTCATACTCTTCCGAGCCCCCCCTCTCCCCCTCTCCCCCCTTCGGATTAGTGCGAGCTGCAACAGCACGGCACGAGCTGAAATCAGGCTTCCCCTCACCCCGACAGGTAAATACCACCCTCTTTTTCTTTTCCCACTTGGTCTCTTTTTTCTTCACATTTCATTCATATCTCCAGTAGGTATCCGGCAGGAATGTACTCAAAGCGTCTGCATAGTACTGCCTCGTTCATCGCACTTATCCCTGAAGCACCATTCAGTTCACTTGCCCTTTTTTTTTTAAGCAGACCTTAAGCAGGTGTGAGACTAAGGGTGAGGACGGGACAGCTCCAGCTATCAAGAGCGGTGTACTGCGACATTTAAAGCACTGTCTGGCTTTGGTGTGTGTGGGTGTGGGTGCGTAACGCTCGGGGGATACACTATTATCCAAGCGACGAGACACCCACATTAGTACGTAGCCACCAACCTTCTCGAGAGCGCCTGAGCGTTGGACAGATCATAAGTTGCCTCCGTTGGGTGCCTCGGTGAGTTGGAGGAATCTTTTGCGCTCTTATGATGATTGAATATGCAGAACTGGACGAGACCAATGTCTTTGTCTTCAACCCTTTTTTCGACTTGTTGGGACTAGGGAGAGTGTGCGAAGTACAGTGCTGATATCGATTGAAGGGATGTGTAGCCTAGCCAGATATGCTCCGAAAACTCTCTCGTTGTGAGGAACAAGGCGCTTTGTGCCCCAGTTCAAACATTAGCTTCCGATATAGTCCTACCCTAGCGCCGGAACGGACAGTCCTGGATG